TCCACGGTTAGGAGGGCAAAGAACTCGGTGACTACTGCCCCGTCGCGGATGAATGTGGCATAGATGATGTGATGCTTCCCACGGCATCTGTCCGTAGACTCGTCACAGCTGAGGCCGATGTAGTGGCTTTGTAGGACGTGTTCGAGTTGTGTTGTCTGCAGCCACACGGCCGTTGCCTGTGTTAGTTCCCCAAAGCCGTACCTGCATAGACACCGAACATATTTGTTAGGCTTACGTGGTTGTGAACAGGAGAGGCTTTTAATGCATGCGCTCGTAAGCACTTACGTGGTGTAGTAAGTGCCGTATCCCTTTTTGGGAAAGCCGCGGACCTCGTTCTGAGCCATGTAGCGAACGAGGCGCACCCACGTCTCCATCGGCAGATGGTTCTGGGTGGTGAAGTGAAGGGAGTTCAGAAGGCTGATGACGCGGGTCGTCTCGTCATCTTTGGCGAGCGTATGCTCGTCAATTCGCGGCTGCTTCCCAGCCTGAGCTAGCATCTGCTTCTGGTGATTGATGGCCAACTGGTGCTTGTTCGTCGCGGCATGCCGCTTGAAGGCTTGGGTCTGAAGATCGGTTGCACCGTGCCCACTCTTGCCACACTTGCCACCGTCACCTGCAAAGTCGATGCACAATCTGCACTTGAACGCAGGCATGCCAGCAGTGTTTTTTATGAGGATGAGCCATGGGTAGTCGGTCGACCACGTCGACTTGAACGTTTCAAGGGCCTCTTCGTAAATCAGAGTGGTTAGTGACGGTTTTTTAGAGTTAGATGGCGTGGGCGTAACGTGGTTTACCGACTCGCCGGCATCAGCGAGAGGACGTCCAGGATCTGTAGGATCGGCCCAACGGAGCACGGCCTGCTTGTAACGAGGCGGAGGCTTCGACGACGACGCACGAGATGGCAAGCGGACGCTCGGCCCGGCTGCTGACGGCACGGCCGGCTTAGCAGTATGCGCGGGCTGGGGACGATCGTCTCCGCGGCAGAGGCCAGACGCTTCACCAGTGTTTGCTACTGAGGCGACGGGACCTGGCTTCTCTTTTTCATGGGAGAGCGCGGAAACTAGAAAATCTAGTCCCGTTCTGGCCTCCAGCATCTCGGTGGCGGCGTAAAGTGCATCGTCGTCATCATCACCGCAGCTGTTCTCACCGGTGATCGCCATGGCGCGTTCACGTCACCTTCCTGAATCGGTGAGTAGTAACGAGAAACCCTGGGAGAGAGATTGCAGAGATTGATGTTTCGGGAGGTGATGGAGTCTGGAGAGCTGGCTTCAGGGAGACTGCAGAGATTGATGTTTCGGAAAGGGATGGAGTCTGGAGAGCTGGAATGGCAGAATCACGAGACCCCCTGCGTGGGGTGCCTGAGCGGGCCGCCCCAGCACGCCCTGCCTTGGTGGAAAGAACAAGGCAGACCACTGGCCCACTGGGCCACTAGGCTTGGTTGTTTGTGCACATCAATGGAAAGTAATGACCAGTGTAGGTTATCCAACGTGACAACGGTACATTGCTTCAGCTGGGACAGCCAATCTCTTTACGCGTTTTGCCAACACAGCCCGAAATTAACCCGTTCAACTGTATCTGGGCGCGCCGCAGGGTGGCGTCGGTGCAGGGTGGGTTCATGCATGATGACGGCGCGCAAAACTGCGAGAATCACGGAGTTTTCGGTTTCAGGGTCGTCTCCGATACAACACTGACTCGTCAGTGTCGACAAACTAGAAACACTAGAAAATCAGGATTAGGAAAAGAAAAACACTGATTCATCAGGGTTGTAAAAACAAAAAGGCTGATTCATCAGGGTTACAATAAAAAACCGGGGTCAAACATCAGGAAATCAGGGTAAAATTCCTGGAATCTGAGGCCCTGGTTGCGTAGCAACCCCTTCACATTTGGTAGCATTTTTTTCGGTCGACTCGAATGAATAGTGCACATTTTTGTCATATTCCCAACGTCTGAAGCACTAGCTTTAACGTTTTGAAAACGTGTGCTTCATATGTGTGGAGATGACAGCACTGCTACACAAGAGTCTCCAAAAAAAGTGAAACCGAATGAGACCAATTATTCCATAATCGTCGATAAATACGGCGAATGGAAAGAATTGGTACAGGTAGCAGCCTCGCCATATTTTACGGTACATCACACACAATTGACAAGACAAATTCGGCGTGGATGCAAATTACGGGTTTGCATCTACCGTATCGAACATGTGCAAAACGACAACAATCAACAACAACAAATGTCATAAAGTGAATGGCAAAATGCATCAGTGCTACAATAGCGATGGATTTGGTATGCTAAGGCGAGCAACGCTGCCCCAACAACGATCCCCACCTCAATTGCAGACCTGACACACTTTAACATGACACCTTACAACAAACACGAACGAGCACATGCAACATTGTACTGGTACAATGACGACAACGCATAACAATAATGAGGGTCTTGGGGAGAATGCTAGAATGCATCGACGATGCAACAAAGGTTGGTCTGGCACGCTAAGGCTATTGCCCCACCGGCGATTACAACCTGAGTTGCATACACGAGGCACTGCAGCACACGCCTAGAGACAGACACAAACGATACAAACAACACGACTGCACATGCACACACAGGCTCACACACACACATACACAATGACACGCACGCAAACAAGCACAGATACATACGGATAGTCAAACATAATCAAAGAATGCAGCTTACGAGCCCTGCACAAAGTAAAACAGAGAATGCAACACGCCCTGCACAAGAAAGCAAAAACAGAGGATGCAACGCATGTGCCCTGTGAGGAGGCCAACTAGGAAACAACTCACCCATACTGCATAAGAAAGCAAGAACAAAGAGAGTACACCTCATAGCATTGCACAAGAAGACAAAAGCAGAGAATGCAGCTCACCCACTAGAGACGAAATAAGCACAATGGAAAAAGACGAGCAATCGATTTGACAGCTCACAGAGGTAAATTGGTATTAGTCGTGGCACCACATATACTACACCAGCATGATGCCATGCCTTGAAGCCACCCTCAAGTTCAACTTCACACTCACGTTCGCACTCAATCTTGTACTCAATCCCGCACCCACTCACACACGCACAAATACTCTCAACTTTCTTAGACACACCCACAGAAACACACATACAAACCTACACGTTAACTCTTGCACTTACCCTCGCACTCATGATCATTCGCATTCCAATCATACTAACAAAAATACTTCCACGTGCACGCAAGGACACTCACACGCACCCTTGCACTCACACTCGCACTTGCTCTTGCATTCACCTTAAGACACACACTTGCACGCAGTCTCGCTCTCAGCCTTGCACTCACACGCACACCCACTCATCCTCGCACTCACCCTTGAACTACCCTCACACTCGAGCTCACACTCACCCCAAACCCTGCACCATCATATTTACACTCACATTCACTCTCGCACTTGTTCTAACTCTTGCTCTCGTTCTCACCCTCGCACTCACCTAAACACGCACCCTCGTACATCCTCTCATATTCACCCGCATACACGCACTTGCACGCGCCCTCGCACTTACCCTGAAGTACATGCGCGTACTCACACTCGTAGTCACACCCGCTTTCGCACCCGGATACCGCCCTCTCACCCTCACACACTCTCGTACTCACTCTCGCAACCACTCACGGACGCACAATTACTTTCAACCGTTCTTAGACACACCCTCAGAAACACAAGCACACACCCTTGCACTCACCCTCGAACTCGCGCACTCACTCGAACACTTTCACACTCACACGCACACACAGTCGCCGGCACGGTGGCACCCTTGAACTCAACTCACACCCACACCCACACTCACGCTCACACTCGCCCTCGCACCCACCCTCTCACTCACTCTTCTACTTGCCCTCACACACCATCTCACACACCCTCGCACTCACACCCACGCTCACGCTTGCACTCAACATCGCAGCCACCATCGAACTCACCATCGCACTCACTCTGGCACTCACTCTCGCACTCACTCTTGCACTCAAACACATGTAATGTACTCTCAACTCTTCTTTGACAATCACAGAAACACACACACAAACTCTTGCACTCATCCTCATACTCACCCTAGCACACACTCAAATGGACCCTCGCACTCCCCCTTGCACTAACACACACTCACACTCGTACTCACCCTCAAACTCGCCCTGGAACTCACTCCCACAATTGCTTTCACATTCGCACTCGCGCTTACACTCGCACCTGCTCTCTCGTTCACACTCGCACTTGCCCTTGGACTCACAACTGCACTCACCCGAAAGTGCACATGCACATCCAAGTCTCGCCCTCACGTCGCCCGTGCCTAAGTCGCCAGCAAGTGCAAGCGCCCACGGCGCCCGCGCCCACTGCACCAGCGCCTTAGGCGCCAGCACAAACGGCGCTCGCGCCCAAGGCGCCAGAGCCCCCGGCGCAAGCGCCCACAGCGCCAGCGCCTCATGGGGCAGCACCCACGGCGCTCGCGCCCTAAGCGCAAGCGCGTTAGGTGCTAGCACCCACGAAGCCCACGCCAACGGCGCAAGCGCCCACGGCGCCAGCGCCCTAAGCGCAAGCACCTTATGCGCCAGCGCCCATGGCGCAAGAGCCTTAGGCGCAAGCGGCCAAGGCGTCTGCGCCATAAGCGCAAGCGCCTTAGGCGCCAGCAACCACGGCGCTTGCGCCCATGGCCCCAGCGCCCTAAGCGCAAGCGGCTAAGGCACAAGCGCCAATAGGGCCCGCGCCGACGGCGCAAGCGCGCACGGCGCTCTCTCTCGCGCCTCTCCCTCTAGTGCTTCCTTAGCTCTCACGCGCGCACTCTTCTGCGTTCTCGCTCCCTTGCGCTCCCTCTCTCCCCTCTTCAAATAGTAGTGCAACGCAAGAGACCAATCAACACACAGAAACTACAAATAAGATAGGAAAAAACGGAAATATAGGACCTTTCAGTAGGGGGAAGGGAGGAAAAAAGGACTGGGAAAAGTAAACGCACCTGCAATTCACGGTGCAGAGTCAAACCTGCGCTCGCGCACCGGCTCCCACTCGTGCACCAGCTTGCTCGTGACCTGTCGACAGAGTCGGCGGCGGGATGGGAGGGAGGCGACGGCGGGATGGGAGGGAGGCGACGGCGGGATGGGAGGGAGGCGACGGCGGGATGGGAGGGAGGCGACGGCGGGATGGGAGGGAGGCGACGGCGGGATGGGAGGGAGGCGACGGCGGGATGGGAGGGAGGCGACGGCGGGATGGGAGAGAGAGGCGACGGCGGGATGCGAAGGAGAGGCGACGGCGGGATGGGAGGGAGCGGCGACGGCGGGAGGAGGGAGCGGCGACGGCGGATGGGGGGGAGCGGCGACGGCAGATGGGAGGGAAAGACGACCGCGAGGCGGAGGGAGAGGTGATGGCAGGGAGGAGGGAGAGGCGACGGCGGGGAGGAGGGAGAGGCGACGGCGGGGAGGAGGGAGAGGCGACGGCGGGGAGGAGGGAGAGGCGACGGCGGGGAGGAGGGATGGGCGACGGCGGGGAGGAGGGATGGGCGACGGCGGGGAGGAGGGAGAGGCGATGGCGGGGAGGAGGGAGAGGCGACGGCGAAGAGGAGGGATGGGCGACGGCGGGGAGGAGGGAGAGGCGACGGCGGGGAGGAGGGAGAGGCGACGGCGGGGAGGAGGGATGGGCGACGGCGGGAAGGAGGGAGAGGCGACAGCGGGGAGGAGGAATGGGCGACGGCGGGGAGGAGGGAGAGGCGACGGCGGGAGGGAGGGAGAGTCGACGGCGGGAGGAACAGAGAGGCGACAGCGGGAGGGAGGGAGAGGCCTCGGCGTAGTCGGCGGGAGGAACGGAGAGGGGATGGCGGGCTGGAATTGAGAGAGGATGGCGGGGTGGGAGGGAGTAGCGATGGAAAGGTGGGTGGGAGGGAGAGGCGATGACGTGGTGGGTGGGAGGGTGAGGCAACAGCTGGTGGGGGAGAAGTGATGACGGGGTGGGAGGGAGTGCCAAACAAGAAACTACAGTAAACGGAAACGTTGGGGCAACCTGAAAGCCGGCACAAAACTTGGGCACTTGGAATTCAAAATAAAAACCAAACGCCGGTGCCACGTGAGAACACACGGATAATCACGTGAAATTTGTGTGAGCTGGAAAACAGCATGGTATATCTCAACGCCCCGACTACATCCGGGTGCAAAAACGACGCGGCTCGGCGAGAGAAGCGTCACCCACCTTCACCCTCGGATGGCAAACTTCGGGCACGCCTGGCCGACGAGCGCCACCCTGCGTCACCACGGCAATCCCGATGAGAGATACCCCGCTGGCACCTCTCAATGGACCCTCGGTACGAGGTCAACACGTTGACGCCGCCGATCGCGGGCAACGTGCCACGACTTCCAACCTTTCATCGGCGCGGACACCGTCTTGACCACGACGGTGCGTCCTGGCCGACCACCGCTCTGGCACGCAAGGCCAGATGTCGCTCATCCCGGACTCACTATTCCACGCGTCCAACATCGTCGACGGGCAAATCTCCACGGGCCGACCGAGGGTTGGTCGGCCTGCTGGCGGGAACCAGTCCGCGGGATGCCATCTCAGCCGACGCGACGAGCACTGCTGCGTCACGCCGACGTGCAATCCCGAACCAGAAGGCACGGACACCGGAAAGTCAGGAGGGGCAAAGGCATGCGTGCACCCTGCCACGTCGTCCAGAGCGCCGCCGTTATTCCATGCATGCAGGTTTGGCGACCTGCCCAGGGATCTCCTGCCAACACCTGTCCGCCCGAACCGCGGTGGTGGCACGCTCTGCTATTGACCCACCATCAAGTGCCCCTCTTTGCCATTTCGACTCTTGTTCTTTCGGTTTCTTTCACTCTCATCCTAGCAAGCTACGCTCTCGCATTCATTCCCTTAGTCGCAATTCCGCGCAGCCTGAGACCGATCGACCCCGCGTGGTGCTGGGTCGACGAGGAGTCTCGCCCGTGTAGGGTGCGAATAGGTCGACATAGACTCTGTCGCTACCGACCTCGGATCATTCGCGGTAGTGTCCTAGGACGACTAGCTAGGTCGACGACATCTGGACGAGACCGACGTCTGTGTCCGACCCCGAACCATAGTCGTCGTCGGCGTGAACCAATAGGACGACCACGAATGGCCAGGGACCAGTCGAACAACAACCCGCGGAACAACACCCCGCCGAACAACACCCCGACGAACAACACCCCGACCGACAACACCCCCCTGCCCAACGCCCCCCCGAACAACACCCCGCCGAACGGGACCACGCAACCTAACACCCTGCCGACCATTACCCCGCCCACCACAATCACGCCGTACACCACCCCGCAGAACACCAATCCGCCGCCCGAAGTTCCGGAACTGTCCGACATCGCCGCGGAGTTGACGATCCCGGAACTGTCCGACATCGCCGCGGTGTTGACGATCGCTGAGAGGGCCGCCTTTAGGGCCTCGTTGCAAAGGCAATACACGGCAGCGATTGCGCAGTATCGCCGTTGGTGGGCGGAACACCAACCGCCGCGAGACGGCGGCGACAACTAGATGCCGATGGGAACAACTTTACCCGCCGAGATGGCTGGCATCACGCCGCCGGCGGTGAGCAGCGCGATTCCCGACCTGAACGAGCCTTACTTGGAGGTAGATGTAGACGCCGCTAGGGCAAATATTCCCGACGACCCGACCATCCCCCTTCCGCCAGGGACGAAAGGGGCTCCCCAACCTGCTTCGGAGCCGGAGGATCCTTCGGCGACCGAGCAGCCGCCGCCGATTGGACCATTTCCCGAAAACGACTACATGTATCTGACCGTAGAGGACTTGTTGGCAGCCGACGAGAAAGATGACGCCTTCCTGCAAAACATTCCGCGCGACGATTTTGCGGAAGCCGCCTTCGACATCAACAAAGAGCTCGCCAAGAAGAACATATTGCTGAGGATGATGTGGGGTTTTCGGCATCTGGACATGCTGGAGGCGAGAACGACCCGGGTTCAGTACCTGCGGGCGCTGCTCGACTTCAGGAGATGGTGCTGCCTAAACCTTCCAGGACAGCAAACCGCCAGAGTCAAGGGGGACGGCGTGCTGGAGCACGAAGACGAGATAGGGACGAAGACATGGGTGATCAGTGGCACACCGCCAAGGACGACCTTCAATGAATGCACGGTCCCCGCGTCAACGCCACGCGGATCAGGGCGTACATTGTGTCAATCGCGAGGCAGCATGGTATTACAAAGGCCGAGGAGCTCGAGGAGCTAAATCCCGACGTCCGTGTCCAGCCCCTGAAGGCGACAACCGTTTCGATGCTGCTCATGCGCATCAAAGCGCTCCAGACAGCCTGCAAGGTCGAGGGGACGCTCTTCGGGGTGAAGGAGCTCCACATCATGTACGACATCTCCGAGGTCCGCTCGGAGGTGCGCGCGATGGTCAGAGAGAAGTGGCACAGGGACGACAGGTAAGTCGGCAAGTCGTCCGTCGCGGCTCACGCCTGTTTCCCGGTTCGCTCAGCTAACCCAGTCCTCGTGGAAACTGATGTGCAGGGATTGCGTCGACCGGCACCGCGGAACACTCGGCGACACGTACACCACCGACCAGATCCGCCACCTCATGTTCAAGGTCTTGCCGACCTGGCCGGCTCGGGCGTACGAGCCCAAGGCGGCCACCCCCTCCCAGACACTGTGGAAGTTCCTGCTGATGAAGACGATGACCCTCTTGGGTCACCACACCCTTCTCCGCGGAGCTAGTCTCCGAGCGATCGAGCTCCCCGACTTGTTCTTGTATAGAATGGGGAGCGCGTCGCCCGAGCACTCCACGCGACGGCCGGTTGTCATGGTCGTCGCGCCACAAAACTCCAAGACGAACAAGGATGCTCGTCTGCATCACAGCTACGCGGCGAGACACCTGGAGCAAGAGATGTGCGCCGTCGGTCACACACTGTTGTGGCTGCACTTCGTGTATGACCAGCTGAGCCGCTCGCCCACCTCTCGATGTGTGCCGCCCCTCGACTTCAGAACTCCGTACATGTGGTATCACAAGCACCTCTTTCATGCTCGGAGCGACAAGGCACAAAAAGAGCTGCCGGCTTCATCTCATTCTCGGATCACGAAAGAGATGTGGCGGACGAACAAGATCTTCATCACGCGCAACACCCACGCCGCCCAGGCAGGTGGGGCACAGGAGCTGGCCGACGATGGAGTCCCGCGATCTGACATCGCCGACTTGGGCCACTGGGTGCTCGACAGGCTTGCGAAGAGCTACATCACGACCATCCCGAAGGCGGCGGAGTTAAGAAAGGCCGGCTACACGGGCAAGTGCGGCGACTACCACCTCGGCCGCAGCTTGGTGACGCCCGACCCCAAGGTGGTGGCCCTCATCGTCCAGCATATCTTTCCCTGGGCTGAAGCGGAACTGGACAAGGTGAGCATTTCAGACGCTGAGACGCCGACTTCCCGCCGACCATTTCCACGCCGACATTCCACCGATGGTTGATTGTGTTTGTGTTTGTGTTCGACACGCAGGCGGTAAGGTGCGCCACCGCGAGAGAGCCCAACACGGCCGGGGTGCACTTCCTGCAATCGCTCATCGAGTTCGGCCGCCGAATCGTCGCCGAGGATCAGGCGTGCATGCTGATGCGCGAACCGTAGCACCCGTACGTCCAGAGTTCCAAGCTCTGCCGCGACCCCGACTTCCAAAAATGGGCCAAGGACGTCAACCGGATGGACCTCGAGACCATCGCCACGCGCGGTACTCCGACCGAGAACCCCCAAGAGGTACGGCGAGCGCGTTGCGACTACCTGTCAAACCAGTCGTCCTGCTACATTTGCTGACGGCTTGCCGACCATTCCCCTTGGATCACAGGAATTTAGCGCGCGAGTCGACACCTTCCATCAGGTCGACCAGCTCACCATGATGCTGCACCGCCAGAGAGAGGATGCCGCGATCGGGAAGCTTGGGATGCAGAAGCAGCTGGAGGAGAAGGACGCGGAGATCGCGAGGTTGATGCAGGCTCTCAAGCTGGCCGAGGCACGGCCGACTGCGCCTGCACCGCCAACCACCAGGCCGATGACCGCCGCCGAGAAGGCAGCGGCCGTCAAGATCGAGAAGGAACAGGGCGACGACCTGACGTACGAGGTGAACGCCGTGCATCCCTGGCGCACATCCAAGACGGTCGAGGCTGCCTGGCGCTGGTGGAACAACCCGTTCAACTTCGACTCGCGTCCCTTGCGCGAACGTTACGAGGAGCACAGATTCCTCGTCAGACACACGCGCATGATCTGCAAGGTCGAAAAGGGCGACAAACCCGCAGCGTCGGCGAAGTCGGCGAAGAGCTCTCGTGGTCGACAACCGCGGCCGGCGATGTCCCACGACCGAGGTGGGTGAGACGGGGAAAAACGATGCGCTGCAGCACTGCACTCGCCGGATGAGGTGGATCATGGAAGCGGTGCACGACTTGCGGCGGAGCGACGACGACGCTGACACCGCCGCCGTCATCAAGCTACTCGACCACCTGGGGCGAGCGGGCCTTTCCACTTTCAGCGACGCTCTCTTGGTCCTCCGTGCAACCCCGCCCATCAAGGTCCCCACCACAGCCGACGGAAAGTCGGTCGGCATCAAGGGTCTGGACAAGCCGCTGGCGAGGAAGCTCGCCGTTGCGTGTCGCGGTATTATGTAGACCGTGGAGGGCGACATAATTCCGAGGCAGCGGCTATGGCTTCACGGCGTGAACATGATGTAGCAGCGATGTAAGTCTCATTGGAGTGAGTTTATGCGGATCGAGAAGCAGCTGACAAACGGGCTGCGGTGTACATATTTGTACCATAGCGAGGATGGACCCTGTGCATGCGAATGTTGGGAGAGGTTTTGGGGGGGGGGTTGCGTGTTTCTTTTGGTACGAATGCTGTTCTGTGCTGTGGCAGGGCGAGTGCTGCTAACGCGGATATGAGCAGCGCGGTCGACAGGTGGCGAGGGCTGCAAGTGTACATGCGAGCCAACTGGGCAGCTGGCGCAGTTTCTGTACCAAACCACATGCAGCCCCAAACCGCCAGCGGCTTGTACATACGACTCGGGACGCCCGAGCCTCGTCCAAGAGTGATGTTTGTTTGTCATTTCTGATGAAGCGCTAGGCTAGGGCAAGTGAATCACATCTTGTACATAGAGCTACTGAAACCCTAGTGCTAGGTGTTTCGTCGTATGTTTCCTGTTTTTCTCAATGTAATCCTGTTAAACCAACACGGGTAGAGTCAAGAATAGCAGGAGCCATCTAGTCGGCCTTGATGGGTTAGTGAGATTTTCTGAGTGAGAGGTCATGCTGGATCAAGCAGATCCCCGAACAGTAAGGCAAGGCGGGCATTACGCAGAAGAGTGGCAAAGGGAGCATCAACAGCGTGTCCAGAGCAAACAGAAGCACTGCAGTATAACAGAGCAAGCCGGTTACAGCAGAATGGGCAGCAGGGAGGCAGGGGAGCCTCGAGATTTCCGACATGCGTGGGGCGTGGTCACGGCGGGCTACATGGACGCTGAGTGGGGAAAGAGGCTCTTCGGCGACTTGTGGGAGGAGCAGGCCAAGAAGGCCGGCTTGGAGGCCGAGGCGACAGCGGGAGCCACCGGCGCTGGGAAGCGCAAGAGGGCGGGCTGAGGGTAGTGCGTCTGGGTCCGACTTGTGCTGCTGGCTGAGCGTGGTGTGACTGAGGGTGGGTTGAGGGCGGGCCGAGGGCGGGCCGAGGGTGGGCTGGGGGTTGGCTGAGTGTGTCCGACCTGTTCTAGTGATACTATATGGTTTTCTTTTACTGCCAACGTTGTTTCGACTAGTACTTAGTCGAAGTTTGTCTGTTGTTCATGCATCAAACCGACTCCACTATGTCCCCACCACAAAACCTACTTCACAAGGTTTCTGAAAAACTACCGACGAACAAGTTCAGCATCCCTAAGCCGGAGAGGCAAAACAAAACAACACAACAACACCCAAAACCGGACACGTCGACCATGTCACGAGCAGTTGGGGCAGCGTTTGTCGACCTAGGCGTCGGCCGCCTGCTTCCCTTTGTGCTGACCCCTCGCCCCCTGTCCCGAACGATCACCTTCATCCCGGCGTCTGTCAAACTTATATGCTATAGTCTGTGTAGGCTGTAGTGGGGTAGACTATATGGGGTACAACATTTCTAGGTTTTCCTACTTGTACCCACCTGCTTGCTAGTTCATTCATTCCTCATTCTTCACATGGTATAGAGCAGGTTCCCTCGTGGGAACGCTTCTTAGGGCCCACCACCTAACTCGATCTTTTTTTCCTGCCCGAGGCGTGCCCCGTAGGCCGCCCCTCCCGTCGCGCCCTCCTAGAGGCCCCTCGCGCCACCCTTAGCGGCCCCGTCGCCGTCCTTAGCGACCCCGTCGCCGCCCCTCTAGGCCCCTCGCGGCCCCTTCATGGCCCCGTCGCCGCCGCTCTAGGCCCCGTCGCCGCCGCTCTAGGCCCCTCGCGGCCCCTTCACGGCCCCGTCGCCGCCGCTCTAGGCCCCGTCGCCGCCCCTATAGGCCCCTCGCGGCCCCTTCACGGCCCCGTCGCCGCCCTTAGCGGCCCCGTCGCCGCCCCTCTAGGCCCCTCGCGGCCCCTTCGCGGCCCCGTCGCCGCCACTTGCGGCCCCGTCGCCGCCCCCTCTAGGCCCCTTACGGCCCCTTCGCGGCCTCGTCGCCGCCCCTCTAGGCCCCTTGCGGCCCCTCTGCAGCCCCGTCGCCGCCCCTACCGGCCCCGTCGCCGCCCCTGGAGGCCCCGTCGCCGCCCTTCGCGGCCACCTCGCTGCCCTTAGCAGCCCCGTCGCCGCCCCTAGCGGCCCCATCGCCGCCTCTACCGGCCCCGTCGCCGCCTCTACCGGCCCCGTCGCCGCCTCTACCGGCCCCTTCACCGCTGAGCCGCCCCGCAGCTGAGCAGCCGAACCACCCAGCAGCCGAGCCGCCCAACAGCCGAGCCGCCGAGCCGCCCAGCAGCCGAGCCGCCGAGCCGCCGAGCCGCCCAGCAACCGAGCCGCCGAGCCGCCCAGCAGCCGAGCCGCCCAACAGCCGAGCCGCCGAGCCACCCAGCAGCTGAGCCGCCGAGCCGCCGAGCCGCCCAGCAGCCGAGCCGCCCTGCCGTCGAGCCGCTACTGTTCCTACCGGCGCGCCCCGGCCCTACTTACTCGGACTGGTGAGATCACTCCCTGCTAGGCCACTGCAGTCATGGCTACCCCCAGTGTCCTTACCTTTGATGCTGAGGGTCGTGCTGTTGACTTTGAGGTCTGGGTCGATGACCTCCAGCTGTTCCTACAGTGCGATAGGGCAGACGAACTCTCCCTGTTCGATCTCCCCTCTGGTGCCTCTCCTGCCCCGCCTGCTACTGCTGACAGCACTGTTCGCTCACAGTGGGCCACACGCGATGCTGCTGCCCGTCTTGCTGTGCGTCGCCACTTACCGACCACTGAGCGTGCACACTTTAGCCAGTACAAGAGTGCTAAGACCTTGTACGACGCTGTAGTTGCACGCTACTCCTCCCCTGCCACTGCTGCCCTTAGCCGCCTCATGCTGCCGTACCTGTTCCCTGACCTTGGTGCCTTTCCCACAGTCGCTGACCTCATTACGCACGATCGCACTAGTGACACTCGCTACCGCGCTGCGCTTCTTGCTGAGTTCTGTGCCAAGAACCCCCCCCCCATGTACATCACCCTCTACCACGTAGTCACCCGGCTCCCTGACAACCTTCGCTTAGTCAGGGACCACTTCCTCTCAGTTTGCCCCACCACACTCACCGTTGACCTCCTCGAGGAGCGCCTCCTAGCAGCAGAGAAGAGCATAGTCGCTGTAGGAGCCTCTCGTGGTGACCCTCGCACCCCCGTCTTTGAGGGGTGTTCCCCTTCCCCCCTCTTGCCCTCTGTTGCTTCTACTGCTGCGGCCGACCTCGTTGGTTTCGAGTCGGTCGGCGCTGCGTCTGCCCCTAGCGGGAGACGCCGCACCGGCAAGGGCAAGGGGGGCAAGGGCGCTGGAGGGGCTGGCGGGGGCGGTGGAGGTGGTGGTGGAGGCAGTGGAGGGGGTGGGGGTGGTGGTGGGAGTGGTGGTGGGGGTGGAGGTGTCGGTGGCAGCAGTGGAGGCGGAGGAGGCGGCGGCGGTGGCGGAGGGAGCGGAGGCGGCGGAGGTGGCGGAGGCGGCGGAGGTGGCGGAGGCGGCGGAGGCAGCGGTGGAGCTGGTCGCGGCTCTGCGCAGAGGAGTGGCTCCGGTGGTGGTCCGCGCCAGCAGCAGCAGCGCAGTCGTGAGACCCCGTCCCCCTAGCAGCTTCGTGAGTGGTACGCTGGGCGTCAGCGAGGTGGGGGTACTGGTCCCTGCACCTACGTCCTCCGTACCGGCGACCGCGCTGGTGAGCAGTGCGGGGGCCCGCACTCCACCCAGCGCTGCTTCGGCCGCCTGACGGACGCGTGGCGTTAACAGTTCCCTGACGCCACTGAGATCCCTCGCTGGGGAGAGCTGTCTAGGGCGGGGGTTGGTATCTTTGATCTTGATTATGATGCTATTCTTGCTGCCATGTATGCTGTGTCTACTAGTGATGAGGGTGACTGTTACCTGTGTGTTCCGCCTGACCCGGGCATTGAGGCTGCTGCTCTAGGTGCTGGTGAGGCTGCTGCTCTAGGTGCTAGTGCGTCTGCTGCCCCAGGTGCTGGTGAGTCTGCTCTCTCAGGTACCACGTCGGCTCAGGCCTTACACACCTTCACCCTTGACGCGGGTGCTTCCCGCTCCTTCTTTCGAGACCGCACCACGCTTACGCCGCTTAGTCGGCCGGTTGCGGTCTCCCTGGCGGACCCCTCTGGGGGTCCTGTCCTTGCTAGCTTCTCCACTGTCTTACCGTGCCCGGCAGCCCCCTCGGGCACCCTGTCAGGTCTCTACCTCCCCTCGTTCTCTACGAACTTAGTGAGTGGAGCTGATCTACAGGATAGGGGAGTTGACCAGTTCACTCCTGCGAGTCAGCGGGTGACCCACTGCACGTGTGCTCGGACGGGCCGACACTTGGCCACGTTTACCCGTCGGCCGGGGTCGAGCCTGTACACACTGACTACTGAGTCTCCTCCGGTTGCTGAGTCTGGTCAGGTAGCTGCGTCGAGTCAGGTGTTTGCTGCAGCGTCCAGGTCTGGTCCTGAGTCTGCGCCCTGCTCGTGTCGTCTCCTGTCCCACCAGACTCTCCTCTGGCACCACCGCCTTGGTCACCCCTCCCTGCCTCGTCTCCGAGGCATGGCCTCCCGTGTCCTTGTCTCTGGTCTCCCCCGGCCCCTACCTCCCCTACCTCCGGGGCCTGCCCCTACCTGCGTCCCCTGCGTCGAGGGGCGACAGCGCGCCGCCCCTCACTCCTCCGAGTTTCCTCCAACAGAGGCTCC